ACAATCGTCTACCGAGCACCAGACGAAGATCCCAACTCCAAGCCAACTCTTCTCAATACCTCTTACTTCATCGACCATGATGGACAACTCTTAGGCGCTTATACCAAGACCAACCTCTGGATCCCCGAACGCGATCATCTGACTTCAAGCATCGACTACGCACACAAGATGCAAGTCGACGAGGGTACGCCAAAACCTCATCAAGTCTTCGATACTCCCTTGGGTCCCGTCGGCATTCTAGTCTGCTGGGATTTGGCCTTCCCGGAAGCATTCCGACAGCTTGTCTTGGCCGGTGCAAAGATCATCATCATGCCCTCGTACTGGACTCTGTCGGACATGAGCAAGGAAGGTTTGGAGTATAACGCGTCTTGCGAGAAGATGTTCGTAGAGTCCACGCTTACCACGAGGGCTTTTGAGAATACTGCTGCCATCATCTACTGCAATGCGGGAGGACCCTCGGAGCAGGGCTATTTTGGTTGCAGCCAAGTTGCATTGCCCATCGTCGGCAAGGTTCCTGGCAGCTTCACGGATGGCGAGGACGGGATGCGGGTGGTGGATGTGGATATGCGAGTTGTTGAGATTGCTGAGCGGAACTATCAGATTCGACAGGATTTGGGGCGCATCGATTGGCATTATGGCTATGCGAAAGGGGCCAAGTTGTAAACTCAGAAAGAGAAGAATATCTATCGATGTCTAATGTCACGATAATACCACCCAGATGAGATGCAATGAGTGTTTAGATCTAGGCTCGCTTTTGCCCCTGTTTGTTTGTTTTTTTGCTTACCCGCTGCTAATGACACTTCAAACAGCCTACAAGACATTCCAATAGGGTCAGTTTTTTCAGCATAAGGAAGGTATGAGTCAGGAGACGAGAGACAAAACATATCGTGGCGGTTTGAGTTTCCAAAGGAGCACATCAAACCGTGTTCCTCCCGGGCTATTGCACTGGTTTCGGACGACTGGGGAGCTCTCTGAACACAATAGCATCGTATTCATCGTATAATTTAATCCGTTCAGATTAGAGGCTATTTACAAAATCACAGCTTGTCATGTGGTAGGGCGGCTATCCCTTTTGCAGATTCCTGATCTTCGATAGGATTCGCAGTCGGTAACTCCTCCCCAAGGATCAGCTCAAACTTGGGACCGTTGTAGGTCTTCCTCTTGATAAACCAGAGTGCAACCGCGTAAACAATGAAAACTCCAATGACAGCTGTCACGTAGTCTGGGTGTGTTAGATACGTAAATAACCCGCTGGTAGATGGGGACTTACTCATAGTGGAAATATCGATTGGAATTGCTGGTGGGAAACAGAAGAACTACGAGATACGTGAGCGTTTCTTCTCCATTACCCCACACATCTTTACTCACGATAGATGTGACGATGACGAAAAGCACCGACGTCCAGTTCGTGAGGTAGCCCATGAAGCCTCCGCCCAGGGAGAATACTGGCGGATTATCCGTCACGAGTTTCCGGCCCCTGATTAGCAGAATCATGACTGGCATCGCATAGGAAAGATTCAAGAACAGGGTGCAGCTTGCGATGTAGGCATTAAATGCAACCTCAGGGCCTATGAAAAGTTATTTTCTGCATCTCATGTTTATTGACGGGCAGACGAACCAAGATAGAGAAGACCAAACAGAATGTTGAAAATGGCCTGCACGACTATTGCACGTACAGGGACGTTCAGCTTAGGGTGGAGGCGCGAGAGACTTCAAAAGACCAAGTAAGTAAGATGGGCTAAAATGGTGATAGCTTCAGGCTGTACGTACTACTTCGAGAATGGAGTTCCGTTATCTCGAGCCATAGACCAGACCAAGCGACTGCCCGACGTCACGCAGCCGTTCGCGCCATTAACGAAACAGAGGGCGACTGCGACGCTTAGAACAGTGGCAGCTGCTCTGCTCTTCGTTGCTTGCAAAATCATCTCCGTCAGAGGACTCTGCGTAGGCGAGGAAAGCAAGACGTCAATGTCGACGGCGCAGAAGAGCATAACGAGGATGAAAGCAATTCCCCTGCGTGTATTGTCAGGTTAAATGTACTATTTGATGCGATGGAGTTCTACTTACGTCGTACCACCGACGATCACGGCACCGACCATGGCTTGAGGGGCATCTGTGGATGGTCTAGGCATCTCCTCGACCATGTGCGCCACAGCATCAAAACTATCACTGTGTCAGTCATATAACGGTAGGTCTATTTCTGGTGAGATGAACCCAATCAAGCTGAGAGCAGACTGAAGAAGTCCAAGCATCCATGCCGTCCCATCGCTCCAGCCGGTAGTATTGGAAAAATTTGTGAAGACGAATTCAGCGTCTGTCTTGGGAGAGGTTGCGAGTAGCACGATGCTGATCACGACGACGCTGAGCAAGGACCAATATACTTGAGAAGATTAGCAAGCCAATCGGTCAACTTTTGTCCTTTGGAGTACTTACATGCTCCTTCATTCCATCGATTGAGGATTGGGTATGCAAAGATATTCAAGAATACTCCAATGATGGACACAGCGACGAACATCAAGTACGTGCTCCATTGTGTGATCTCGTAGGAACCGCCAGAAGCTGCGACGGCGGCTGCAGCGAGGAATCGGGCTTCATCCAGAATTAGTGAAGGTCAAGTCGTTGATGTAGGTCAATTCTCACCTCCAAAATACGCAGCGGTAGTGTTGAGCGTGAGCCAGCCAGCGATGTTGACCCATCCAACAAAGAAACTCTGGAGCTCATCAGCACTTGATTTCCAGTCAGGCTGTGAGGTGTGGGGTTTACCGTCATCTTCCTCCACTTCTTCGTCGAAAGTGCATAGGCATAGTGATATTGCCCTCCAGCCGTCGGATAGAGCGACGCAAGCTCTCCAACACTTGCACTCAATGCGATGTTGCAGATAACACAGAAGATGAAGCCGTACACAAAGGACACTGATCCACCTGAGGGCATCACTAGACCAATGGACCCAGCGAGAGAGATCCAAGTGCTTTTGAAAATCAGTATTCAGATCTGGGTACGTAACTAGAATTCAAAGACTAACTTGAGAATAGCGAAAGCCATGCCAATCATGGTGATTTTAGAAAATCGCTTCTGCAGGTGGCCATCGTGGCCATCCGCTGATGATGTGGCCATGTCTTCGAGTGGTATGTAACAGCGGAGCTTCAATGGTGTGAATTGGAGGTAACCACCCGGACATTTTTGACAGAATACGAACCTCTCATGTCCTCTTATGGTCCTTGAAGGCTGTTTCACTTGTACATCGCAGTGTCGCACCGATGATAACAAGGCAGATGATAAGGAGAGATGCCTTTACGCTTAATAACATGCCAACAAACAGCAACGGGGTTATCCTCTCGGGTAGCTGCGAAGCTGCGAGTAATGACGGTGGTCTATCAACACGCTATCCCCAAAGTGGTAGTCTTAAGCAAAGGAAAAGACGAACCCCATGGCCGGCTGTGGATCGGAGACGCTGCTGTGGAGGTCTATCAGCCGATCACCCCGCATGCGATGATAACGGCCCCGAGCTGCGTCAATGCCGGCACCCATTTCCGCTGCGAACTGTGTACTTGGCTATCGAGGAATGTCATTGTTCCCGGAGAATATTTTCCCTTGATGGGTGCATGTCAGTTGATGAAGCTTCAATATAACCCCTAGAGGTAAAATACACCATCAATTGGGTAGAGCCGCTGCTCCCCGTTACTACCTTATGTTGCTCTGCTGTCCAGGCTCTAAAAGCAAGTGCTTAGAGCAACACATGGTTCACTGTCCTCGATCGTACGGCGCGGATAACGGCCACTATTCAATCCAGCCACATAGATTGAATTTGATTCATTGCTTCATTTTGTCCAAGGTTATGTTTGAATTAAAGCATCTTCTTGTACACCTTGTTGCATTCAATCTCCTGAACCCACAAGTTCCATGGTCGCATTAATGACCACTGTGTCGTCTTGTCAGAAGCCATACATTCATCTTTACTCAGGCTCTTCACGCCGCCCGTGACCCCAGTAACGCCTTGAAGCATTAAAGCAGTAGTTTGGATGCTTGCGTTCTTCTGCGTATACACTGCTCGCATCACGGCGAGCTCGATGCTACTGGCAACGACTGTGAAACCATGCCCGCGCATCAACGTCACGTTATTGCCATCGTCAAAGTGCTTCGCCAAGTGGGCACCCATATTCTCACTGCGTACAAGTAGGTCATCAACGTCGCTGTTCTCCATGTGGTCTGCGGTATCAAATACCGGTAAACCATTGGCGCCCAGAAATCCGCACATGTGGCTGACGGCCCTCAGCGGAACACCCGATATCGTGTATGGGACCACGGCCTCGGAGTGGCTGTGGACCACCGCGTTAACCTGTGGGTGCCGCTTGTAAACCTCCGAGTGGATTCGCCGCTCCGCAAAGCCCGGAGGCGACTCCGCTTCGAGGGGCTCGGCATCACCAACCCTATAGGCGACAAGATCTCTGATCTCTGACACCTGAGCTGGGGCAACGTTTCGAGACATTACAAAGATGTCAGGGTCTAGAGGGTAGCGGAAAGACAGGTGGCCGTAGGCATCAACCACTTGATGGAGGTGGAGAATGTGAGAGCCATCGATGAGTTTGCTGTAAAGCTTCCGAAGGTCGTCGGTGTGAGGCAGAGCAGCCATTGCAACGGGATGTATTTCTTTCCGGGCGATGGCGCAGGAATGTGAAAGGTTTCAAAGCGATATTTGATTTCCCGAAGACGGCTGGATTTGAGAAAGGCTAAGAGTGTCGCGAGTGCCGAGTGCTCATACAGAAGCAGCTGATCGACGGGCCGATGATCGGATTTCAGAAATCTGGCGGGGTACGAGCACCAACTCGATGCGGGGTGGTCGAGGGGTAGTTTGAGAATCTGAATGCATGGCATTTGGCGACCTTTTCGTACATGCACACAGGATCTTCATGTTAAAATTTGGTTTTGTGTTTGAGTATGCCGCGCCGAGTTCGAGGTAGCAGTAGATTTTCTGATAAAACCGATCTTCTCTCGCAGCAACTTTAGTCTTGGAAGGAATCCATTGGTCCTTTCGGAACGAGACCTAGTTCAACCAGAAGCCTCTCTAAACCCTCTGTCTTGAATGGTTTCTGTATCAATGTGTCGAAACCAAGACTGCGAGTTCTATCCATATCTAGCCTCATTGATATGCCAGCAGCCATAACTACAATATAACACGGCTTCAGGCCATTCTCGATTTCGAATGCGCGAATGAGTCTTGTGGCATGCAGACCATCAATGACGGGCATCGAAGGCTGCATCAAGATGCATTGATAGGTCTGGTAGCCTTTCTTGTATGCCTCGAATGCCTCCTGGCCATTACATGCGAAGTCGTACACGCAATTGTGCCCTAATCCGTCCATTTGCCTGGCGATGAACTTTCTCACAACTTGATTGTGTTCGGCTACAAGGATGTTGATTGACGTCGTGTGTGTTGCTGTAATGGGAACGCCAAGTGCCTGAGCTGGGCTTGATAGGCCTGATTTCTCTGTGCTCAGCTCTTCCAGTAGACGTGTTCCATTCTCCGACAGGGATTCTGCGCGCGAGAATACCATGTCGGCAAAGCAGTCATCTATTCTCTTCAGTGGTAAGCGAAGGAACGATTGCGGTCGGGTTCGGAAGTGCTGTAGTCGATGACCATAAAGCATTCAAAAATACATTGAAGAAGAAAGATGACGCTGCACTTTTTTCTTCTCAAACACTAGATTATGTGCTGTGAGGCTTGCTGCCTGCTTGGCTTCTGACTTCTCGCTTACTCAAGGCGCAGCATTTCTAGTCTGCTTATGTGGATGCGGCCACGTTCTCTAGAGCTCTCGCCTTGAGGTTTGGCACTAAGATGTAGGATTTGGGGAAAGGGAACATCTATAATACGACGTGTGTCACATATCTTTTTCGCGGTAATTAGATCCATCAACTTGCTACTTTACGTTGTTCTTTAGGCCCTGCGTTGACTTGGCGCCACCGATTCCCACGCAGCACTCCATGTGGGATGTGGTTCCTACGTATAAACAACAATCATCGTGAGAGATATCCAAAAGATGGCTATGGAAACCGTATGCTCACCGGTCCGTATTGCCGGGCAGTGTCAAGACAAGGCCATCATCTTGGACGAGGCGCGCCCGACGCCGACGCCGACGCCGTCAGGGGTACCGTGCAATTATGGGGCCGGTTTACGGGATCGGGTTGAACATCGTGACAAGAGCCCCGAACGAGTTCTGGTACTCTGTCACCGAGAGGAGGGGACGAGGTTAGTGAGCGGCTTCGAACTCAAGTTATTCCTCACGGACTCTTCGGGGTTCGGCTATTCCGTCTTGCCTCGTTCTCGCGACGTTCCAGAAGCTCTATCCCTGAAGCTCAGACTCGTGTCGAGACGCATCTCCCAATAAGACCGCCGTAAACGCGAGGCATGTCCAAACTCTGTTCTACTTACCTTGCCATCTCGCAAGGCAGGGTGCCGGGCCTCTTCACCTCGCAGAGTACTCCCTCTCAGTTGAGAAGATTGTCCATGGCTGGTCGCCTCGAATAAATGGACTATGCTAGAAACAAACCCCGCGGAGCCACTTCCCCGCGTCCCTCTTCTCCAACATTGGGTTTCCGCTAGGGAATGTCTGGTGCTAGTTCAATGACGCCGAGTTCTGGGGTAACGCACTCGGTGGGACTGCGTGACACCCCTAGATCCATTTTCGCTTCGCTTCGCATGAGAAAGCATCTGCCGGCTGTTCGTTTCGGGATCTGGTGGGACGAGGGAGAGAGTCAAGACTGGGGGGAGCTTGGAGCTCGGGTGCTCGGTCAAGCAGCAGGAGTGAAGCACGGCAGATCGGTAAAAACCCCAAACGCAACAACCCCAAAACTGCTTCTCCAAGGGCGTCTTTTGTGTTTTTCTATGAAGCCCGACTCCGTGACCTCGGTAAGCTGGCCACCACCTTGGTATTTGGGTTCTCCGACGCTCCCCAAGGATCCAACACCATATCTCGAGCTTCACGACAGCAAGGAATCATTATCACAACCCCAATCTATTGAAGACTGAGAATACACAGCTTTTTGACGAACACATCGTCGTTTGGTCGCAAATACCTAGCCACGTCTCAGTAATCGGGTATTGGTTTCGCTGTGCCCAGCTGCAGCCACTGGAGCCTGAGCGAGTACAGGACGGGCGATTCGGATAGTTTCCAAACCCAAGGCGAAAGAAATAGCAAGAATGGCACTCGGTAAGAAGACCTTATTCGCGATCTTTGCCCAAGCCCTTAGATCTAGATCAATTGGCGGGCATTAGCTACCACAAATGCCATGAATGCGCACTCACCCGATAGCAGTTACGGCCGCCGCGCTGGCTGGCAGCATGGTCTCCAGCATGTACGTAGATGCCAAGTACCACATCTCCAAGGATGTCAAGGCCCTCCGAGGTCGACGGACAGTGACCAAATCTGTCGAAAACTCGAGTAAGGACTGCCGCAGCCTACTTGACGCTCGTGAGATTAACCCAGGATACAGTCAAGAGCAGCCGCGTTTCTCCCTATTATTTCTTCGAAGAAGCGGTCCAAAAGGATCCCTACGGTGAAGCCATCTGGACACGAAGCGGGAGCGTGTCGTGGAAGATGACCTATGACAGGGCGAACCAGTATGCACAGATGTTCTTGTCGCAAGGTGTTCGGCCGGGGGACTTCGTTGCGATTCTTATGCAAAACTCGCCCGACTTTGCATTCGCCTGGGTTGGACTGCTTGCAATTGGTGCGGCGCCCGCCATGATTAACTACAATCTCGTCGGCAAAGCTCTCCTCGGCTGCATCGAGATCAGCACCGCCAAACTCGTAGTCGTCGACGGAAGCCCTGATATCGCGGCCAAGTACAACGACGTTCAGACAGAGTTGGATCTCAAGGGCATCAGAGTCGTCAACATCGGAGAAGAGAGGGAAAGGATATATCAGATGGATCCCATCCGTCCGCGAGACGAGCTTCGGAAGAACCTGACGCCTGCCGATGCAATGGCCATGTTCTATACGAGGTAAGCTCATTGGTGTCGGGGTCTGGCTTCGATATCTGACAATCGCAGTGGAACTACCGGGCTACCCAAGGCCGTAATCATGCCTGCCGCTGCCGCTGGGAGCCTCGCATTATCGGTGAGCATTTGATGCGCACTCTGTCTTCCTCCGGCTTGCTGACCTGCTTAGAACGACATTGGCTTGCATCCGACAAAGAGCGGGAAGGAAAGATGCTACATTTGCATGGTAAGTGAATACGCCTATATTGTGATGAGTGAAGTTTCTAAAAGGATTGATACAGCCGTATTATCACGGGACTGGCGGTATTACTATGATATCCCAGATCTTGGTAAGAACCTCCCGCCCTCTTCAAGTGAATTCTAGCTTACACGTTGCAGTCTGGTTCTACAGTCTGCATGGCACTCAAATTCAGTGTCTCAAACTTCTGGGAAGATGTTCGTGACTCCCACGCCACTTGGTTCGTCTACGTTGGCGAGACTCTCCGATACCTCTTAGCCTCGCCTCCTTCGCCGCGCGACAAAGACCACAACATCCACGCTGTTTTCGGCAACGGCTGCCGACCCGACGTATGGAAACGCTTCCAAGAGAGGTTCGGTATCGACACGGTGTGCGAGTTCTATAACAGCACCGAGGGCGCTTTGGGCCTTCGCAACCTCTCTCGAGGAGACTTTTTCGCGAATGCTCTTGGTCACCACGGACTTCTGCTCCGACTCAAGTACAGAAACATGGTGGTACCTGTTGAGATCGATGCGGAAACGGGAAATATCCAGCGAGATCCAAAAACTGGCCTGGCCCTGCGCGCTTCGTATGAAGTCGGTGGCGAGATCTTGGTCGAGCACCCAGGAGAACGAGCGTTTCCGGGCTACTTCAACAACGAGGACGCCACCAACAAGAAGTTCGTCCGCGACATTCTGAAGAAGGGTGATTGCTTCTACCGGACCGGCGACTCTTTGCGGCGCGATAGTGAAGGCAGATGGTTTTTCCTTGATCGGTAAGTGTCAGAAATATCTCACTCGGGCTGCATCTGCTCACCCACATACCCAGTTTAGGTGATACGTACCGTTGGAAAGGCGAGAACGTCTCGACTGCGGAAGTCTCAGAAGTCCTTGGTAGCTACCCAGGTGTCAACGAGGCAGTCGTCTACGGTGTCCAGCTTCCCGGACATGATGGTAAGGCTGGTGCGGCAGCCCTAGACATTGCTGCGGACCAGAAGGGGTCTTTCAACTATGCCGACTTCCTGAGGTGAGTAGACCTGACCTCAAGAGCTTGTATGCGTCAAAACTGATGGTCAACAGTTTCGCCCGATCAAAGCTCCCAAGATATGCCGTGCCGGTTTTCATCCGGCTCCTGAACGAGGGCACAGCAACGCACAACAATAAGCAGAACAAAGTGCCGCTGAAAAATGAGGGCGTGGATCCAAGTAAGATCCAAGGCGGCGATCAATTGTTGTGGATTGAGAAGCACGGGAAAGGAAGCACATATGTCCCATTCACTCAAGATGACTGGAACAACCTCGGTATGGGAAAGGCTAAGCTGTAATTGTTCTAGAGAGACACGTAGATGGAAGGTATGAAGAGGAGTCACATGAGCTACAGATTTCCATTGAAAGGCCGGCCATGTTACCTTGCTAGAGATGCCTGTAGGTCTCGGGAGCCTTACTGAAAGCGACTACTTCATGCGACGGGCCCTGCTACCGCAAGGTCTTGATACGAATACTATACATCAAGAGCTGGACTCCAGACGCTCCGGACCGCTCGACCTGCATTCCCGCTCCGGTGCGGGAGATGGCCTGTCGCTCATCAATTACTTATCCAATGAGAAGTATGTGATGTGAAATAGTTGGATTCAAGCTTTGCGACGGCGTCTTCCAGGATGTGACGAACCCCGCACGACGCAATTACGCAGCAAGGCCTTATTGCGCGGGGGAATACCCCTGCTCGGTTCACATGGAGATCAGCAACGAAATGGGGTGGCAGGGACCGAGGCCGGCAAAAGATAAACAAGATGAGGTGAACCATGGGAACTGCTTGATTTGGGTGTCGCGTCCAGGGTCTCCAGTTGATATGAACGGCGAATTCCTTGCGGAAGCTGTTCATTCGGTCCACTATTCTTTCGACTTTGAGGTCCATGGTCCATCGTCAGCATGGCCGGCATCAAGAGAACACGCATCATATTTGCGCTGGTCATCACCGTCGTTCTGATCTTGCTGTTCAAAAAGGGCGACTCGAATCCTCAAACACCCCAATGGACACCCAACTCACCACCCGGCGGCTCGCTCATCAATGTCGACATCCCTCCAGATCGCGTCGAGGTGCCCATCATCGACAATAACCTGCAGTTCCAGCCGCCACCAGTTCAGGCGCATGTGCTTCTCGACGCGCATAAACTCCCGACAGCTGACGACTTCATCCCTCACTTCGCTGCCGTCACCAACATCAAGGGCATCTCCCAGCAAGAGGCTCGCGCATCATGTACCTGGCCAGCGGACATGTACGTCGATTTTCAATTCTCCGACTCTCTGCCATGGGTTATTGAGGACCGACCGGTGCTTGAGATCGAGCTGCGCAGACGCGAATGGCAGGACTTTGTTAAGAGCGGCATGATCCCATACGCACGCGCCAAGGATCGCTTCTCCGGAAGAGGATTGG